TCAGACAGAGAAAGACAAATGCTGTATAGTTTCATTTATATGTGGAATCTAAAACAAAACAAAAACAGACTCATTGAAACAGAGACCAAAGGGATGGTTATCAGGAGGAAGGGGGTAGGGGAATGGGTGAAAAGGGGAAGGGGAATATAGTCAAAGACAGTGTGACAAGTTTCCACAGTGACAGATGATTACAAAACAGTGTGGTGATCACATTGTAAGGTATAAAACTGTCAAATCACTATATTTACCTGAAACTAATATAACTAACATAATATTGTATAGCCCCTATACTTAAGTTAAAAATAAGTAAATACAAATAACATTTAAAAACAATGCAAATCAAATCATGTCATGTTCCTGCTTGAAACTGCCCCTGACAGTAAACCAAACCCCCCTGGTGGGACATACAGGGCCCTGGAGATCTGCTCCTTCTGGCTTCTTTAGTGTCAGCTTCTGCTGTCCCCATCGTTGCATTCCTCCCTCCAGTCAGACTCAGCTGCTCTCTATCCCTCCAACACATTCTACACTCTCTGGCCTCCTAGCCTTTGCACTGGAAATATCCCTATGCTGGAACTTACCTCTTTCACTCCCTTTCTGTGGCTGATGTCACTTCCCCAGTCGCTTGCCCTGACCTCGTAAGGAAGGACTGCCTGCACCACCTTTCTCCATGAGTGAGCCCCTAACCCTTCCATTATAATTGTTTCCTTGCCCATGTCTCCACTTTAGAAGCAGTTAGGGACCATGTCAGGGGCCCAGCATAGCACCTGACATGCAGGAATGCTTCGAAGAGTATTTATTAGATGACACTTGGTCATTAGGCAAATGGGTGTGATTAATTATATGAACAGGCTTCCTGAGAGTAAACCATCACTGTTCCCCTAGGATAAACCTCATTCATCATGGTGGGAATTTCTCCTTTTGTGTTATTGGATTAAACTCTTCATGCCTCGAGATTTTTACATCTGTTTTAAGAAGTGACACAGGTCTGTACCTTATCTTGGACATACTACCTTGGGCAGCCTTCAGTGTAGGAATTCACTATAAAAATAAATTAGGTAGGACCGGCCGAGTGGCGCAATGGTTAAGAACTGGCTTGGGA